CCCAAGGCCTGGGTGCAGCAAGGCTGGCTGCCTGACTAGCAGGTGCTGCGGAGGCAGAGAGGAAGGAAAGCAGGAGGCGGTCCCACCCTTCCTCCCAGCCCGGCCCTGCCCGCCATGCAATGCTGTTCATTGTGAAAGTGCCCGTGTCCAGGTGCACTGTGGCTTTAGGGTGTGTCTTGGGGCTCAGGGCCAGGCACTGTTTACCTTGATGGGCTGGGTGATGGCTTCAGGTTGAAGGTCCCCAAGACCAGAGCTCCAGGAAGTGTACAGTGAGACAGGACCTCGTCCTTCCTGCTCAGCCACAAGTCATGAAAATCAGTGTATTGGCTGATTTGGTGAGAATCAGGGAGTTCTATTTCCATATGCAGCCGAGGGGCTCGGGCAGGTTAAGGGTGCTCCTTCCAAGCTCGTGTCTGAGGGCGATTCAAAAGGTAGGCTTGCTTGTATCTTTAGTTGACAGATGAGTTCTGGCAACAAAAATCACATAGAGATAAAAATATCTTCACACTTCCATCTACAAAACACTCTGACCTTAACATCTGTTTAAAACACTCTAGTTATTTTCCTGTTCATTGCTAAAGGTCATCTTCATTTTGAATGATGGATCAAATTTGTTTCAAAACATGCAAGGGTAGCGCATCACTGAGGTCCTGAGGCCGGGCCTGTCTTAAGCAGAAGCATCGAGCACCGTGTCCACCCACAGGCCTGGCCCTGGGTGTTCACTGCCACTCCCTGTCTCCTTGTAGCATGTTTTAAAAATTGTGTTTAAATAAGGTCTTGTTGGCACAGTGCAGACCACTGCCAACCTCTGGGGTGTGGTCGGCAACACAGGACAGAGGGAATGGAGCCCACCTGCAGGGCCTACAGTCTCCCCTGCACCCCAGGGGTGATGGCCGACCATGTGGACACCTGGCCAATGGGAGGGGCTCTGAGTAGGAACTTAGCCCTTCAGGGGCTCGGATGAGCCAGTCAGAGGAGCCGATTAAAACACAAGCCTGGAGTGAAGGCCCTGGCTTTACCCCCTTGGGATGGTGCAGGCCAGGGGACCTGGAGGAGGCGCCCGCAGGCTCCCCAGCTCCCTAGCCCATTCCCTCCCTCACAGAGCAGGGCAGGGTCCAGGCCACGTGGACAGCACAGAGGTGGCCTCTCTTCTGAAGAGGGTTCCTGCAGGTTTATGGACTTGCAGCAGGAGAGCCAAAGGAAGGGCTCGGCAGGGCTCAGGTCCGAAACGGTGGGAAGTGTTCCAGGCCCCTGTCCCAGGAGGAGGTGGATGGGGAGTGTCTCCAGGCCCCCCACCCATGATGAAGACAGTGGGGAGTGTCTCTAGGCCCCCCGCCCCATGAGGACGCACTCCAGAGGTGCCTGGATTTGCCCTGGGCCTGAGGCCTCTGGTGGACCCCTAGGAGGGGAGGTGCCACCTCTGCTGGGGGCACTGCCGGGAGGGAGCCTGCCCCAGGCCCCATCTGCTGCTGCTGTCTGGGAGCCTGCCAGGTGCCAGTCCTGCACCCCTTCTGGCATGGAGAGAAAGGTGTCCTGGCGGCTCGCCAGGCACGGCCCTTGTAATTGCCTGGTCAGGCCCCAGACATCACCTGGTCTTTGGACTGGAGCTGCACCCCTCCGGCCCCAGTCTGCATCCCAATCCCACCAGGCTGCTGTCTTACACATGGTGACCTGCATTCGCCGTGAAGACGTCAACCTCTCCTTCTGTGGGTGGGGGGCCTTGCCAGCCCCTCCCCCGTCGCAGCCCAGGGTTCCAGGCCTGGCGCCTCCCGGGCTCTCACAGCCTCAGTGCAGCTCTGAGCCTCCTGCAGAGAGGCAGGAAGAGAGGCCTGCTGCTGGTGGTCACTGCTGGGCCACACATGCGTCCTGCTGTGGGCATGAGTCAGGTGTCCACACAGGGCCCGTCCCTAGGGCTGGTGCCTGGGGCTCCTGGGCCGGGCAGGACAAGGGTCCTGGGGTGATGAAGGGCCAGCTCAGGGGGCCTGAGGGGCTTTGCTCTTTGCTCCCACCCCTGGCCCTTTCCTGGGGGCTTCCAGCAGCTCAGGACTGGGCCGTCCTCTGAGCCACCTCTTCCTGGGCAGCCCTTGAGGACTCCCCTTGCCATTGTCTCGAGAAGCACTGGGCAGGGCTCCAGTGGTTACAGCCAGCTGTGGAGAAGCAGTGGAGAAAGGACTTCTGGAGAGGGAGAAGCCACTTTGAATAAGAAGCACTCACACGGGACTTGGAAGTGTGTTGAGATTTTCCCCAAATCAGTCATTCAACTGATGGCTGCATGCCCCGGTGCTTGCAGAGGCTCACCCCTGGCCTGGTCCTGGGTGAAACACGCAGGTGTCCACCTGGGGCGCAGTGGTCTCTGCCATGCTGCTCGCCTGGGCGTCACCTGGGACGCAGTGAGTGAGTATGGCAGGTCCATGTGGCACTTGCACCCCCAGGAGCAGTGGGCTCTGAGCAGCAGCTGGCCACTCAGTGGTAAAGGGGGTGTCTATCTGTGATATCTCATGGGAAAGCAGCCTGCAGTGGGACCGCAATGTGGTGCCAGCACAGAGGGGCCGTGCCAGCAGAGAACAGCAGCACAGTCAGGTGCTCAGGGGGGTCCGGGGGACATTTTCACTTATCTACGGGGTCTGCTGTGGGGCGGTTTTGTTATTAAGCTGTAGGGTTTTGAGTATTGCTTACGTTCTCTGACTTTCGATCCCTACATGGGAATGATGGGATCCACTACACCCCAGTGGAACAGACGAGGTCCAGAACTGGGGACAGCAAGTGCCACAAGCAGTGTGTGGCTGTTGGGGACAGAGCAGTCAGCCTCTCGGGAGGAGTCGGTGGTTTCTTACAAAGCTACTCATACCTCTACCGTGTTATGCTGCAATTCCCCTCCTTGGTATTTACCCAGAGGATTTGAAAACTCATGTCCACATTAGGATCTGGGCACAGCTGTTGTAGCAGTTTATTCATAATCACCAACACTTGGAAGTTCCCGGGACGTCCTTCAGTGGGTGAGTGGGTAACTGCTGCGTCCTTGGAGTGAAATACTACTCAGCCATAACCAGGAATGAGCTGTCGTTCCTTGGGAGACGTGAAGGAAGCTCCCATGCGCCTCGCTCGGTGGGGGATGGAGGGACGTTAAGTGAACATGGCCAAGGGCAGAAGCCAGTCGGTATGGCTGGGCAAGGCTTGCTTCTGATCACAGGGCATTCAGAGAAGACATGGCCACAGTGGATAGGCCAGGGGCTGTGGGGGTGGGAGGAGGGGGAGAGTGCAGTGTGGGCATTTCTGGGGCCGCAGGACTCTGGGTGAGGCTGGGGTGGCAGATACGCGTCAGTGTGCGTTTGTCAAAAACCCGTAGGACATTCAGCGCCAATGACAACGAATCCTGCAGGGAACTGTGGGTCTTAGTGAGTCACTGTGTGTCCCCGAGAGCTCTCCCCTGTGGAGACGCACCGCGGCAGAGCAAGGCGCCAGCAGGGACCTGGGGTGGCCAAGGAGGGAGCGGCACCTTCTGCTGGTTTTTTCTGCAGCCCGGCGTTGCTTGGTGAAAAGTCAACTCAGGTTCAGAATCCATGTCTGCCCGGCACTGGGACTTCAGAAACCGGGCAGACAGGGAGGAGAGGAGCCAGATTTATGTCCACGTTCAAGACTGACTTCCAGTCCCCCACGGGCAGCTTTTTAAACCCGTCTGACATCCTGGTGGAAGGCTCTCTGAGACGCAGATCGGCAGGCACTGTCCCTGGGCCTGGGCTGAACCGAGCCCTGCCTGTCATCCCCAAGCAGCCAAGATCAGGACATCCACATGGTGTCAGGGCTGGCCCTTCTCTGCTCCAGGCCCCATCCCTCAATGTCTGCCCACGCCAAGTGCCACCCCAGTCACCACACACCTGTGTCCACCTGCGTCCACCTGCACTGCCTGCTGTCCCCCAGCCAGCCCTGTTTCCTCATCGCCCACGTCCTCCCCCTTGCCCCCTCCACCTGCCTCCCATTCTCCTGGACACACAGGGCCTTTGCACTCCCTGCTGTTTGTCCGTGGCCCTCTCCTCTAGGGGCCAGTGGTTCCTCCCTGTGCTCCTGACCCCCTTCTCTGCCTTTCCCCTTGTGCCCATCGACCTATCACAGAAGGCAAATAAGTGAGACAAATGTAGTCTGTATGTCCTCTGGGAGGCCACGCCTGGAGGCAGCTGTGCACTGTGGGCCCTCGCCTCTGTCCCTGTGAGCGGGAGCAAGCCGCACCTGTCAGTGACCGAGGTGTAGATATCTAAGTGCTTTTCTGGCCTGTTTTGTCACTCACCTGTCTTGTGAGTCATTGCATAACTGTCCTTGATCCCTTTGGTGGCCGAGTCCTCACCAGGGACAACCTGATGGCAGGAGGCTGCCCGCATCCTGCAGCTGCAGGCCGGGTCCCGTGAGCTCAGGACACCCGTCTGCCCTGACCCACAGCTGCCCCTTCCAGCAAGCCCTCTCCATCCCATGTGTGTGGCCTGGAGTGGCTCCAGTGACCACGCTCTTGTCACCGTGGCTTCTCTTTCCTTTCATCCTCTTGTGCATTGAGGATTGAGCCCAGGGACACTTTACCACTGAGCCACATCCCCAGCCTTTTTGATTTTATACCTGGACACAGGGTCTCACCAAGTTTCCCAGGCTGACCTTGAACTTGCCATCCTTGGTTGCTGGGGTCACAGAGGTGCACCCTGCCCCGGCCTGTTGTGGTGATTTCTGACGTTGTGCACTATCCACGTGCATCACAGCTGGGCTGCTTCTGTTAGGGTGCAGGGGTCTCGCTCCTCTCCCGGGTGACCGCGGGCTCTGCAGTGCACTGGACATCCTGCAGGGCATGTGCAGTTGCACAGTCCACCCTCAAGTGCTTCCTCTGGGGAGGGAGGCCCACAGGTGGGCTTTCTCTGGAGGGAGCTGGCGCGGGGTTTGGGTGCTGGTGCCTGACATGGTGCAGCAGGCGTCTGTCACCGTGGAAGACGCACATCCCATTCTGACCTGTCCCTCTTCCGCAGGTGGTTGCCATAACAGCCTTAAGCCAATCAGCAACAGTCCCACCATCGCCATCGCAGCCGCCGCTGCAGCCGCTGCCGCCGCTATGGTCTCCGTGGACCCTGAGGGACTCCGGGGTCCATCCCCTGCCAGCGTGCAGCCCTGCCACTTCCTGACATTGGCGCCCATCAAAATACCGCTCCTGACGGCCCCCTTCTCAGGTAGGCACAGAACCGCGCGTTGCTCGCAGACGGAATCCTCCATCGGTGAGAGGCAGGGACGCTGGCCTCCGTGGCTCAGGTTTCTGGTCAGTGCCTATGGCCAGGGGTGCATGTGCTGCCGGACAGTCTTCTGAGGTCACGCAGGGTCTGCTCAACGTCAGACTGCCCAGACACACCTGGGTTCCACCAGGAGCCAGGCCTTGCTGGGCCACCCTGCATTTTCAGCCTGTGAGTGAAGAACTGAGCTGTCTCCTAGGACTCTGTGGCGTAGTGCAGGAGCCTGGCAGTGCAGGGACCCAGACCTTTGTTCTTTCCTCGCGTGGGGCACACAAAATAGCAAGAGCAGCCCTGGCAACGAGTCCGCGTGGCACTAGAGCACAGTGCTGAGCCACTCGCCCCTCCCTGGCCAGGCTGGGACTGGGGCAGGACGAGTGATGGCCCCGAGCCCCTGAGCTCTGTCCTGGGGCATCGGGCTGGCGGACACTCTGGCTTTCTGGGAGGTGCTGGGAGTCATGGATGGGGGGCCAAGGAGGGAGACAAGGCTGGCCGCGGATCCTTGCCTGCCCGTGCTCACTAAGCGTGGCTGCTGGAGTCGGCAGGCCTGGTGACCGGTGTCCCTGTGAAACGCTGGTTCCCTCAGGTGCCCGTTAGGGTAGAACAGCACTGGGTGAGCCCTCCAGGAGTGCTCTGGTTTTCGTTGTTCACCTGAATGGGGATTCCGAGAAAGATGACACACACGGGGGGTTGAAATAGCATCCTGGATCCGAAAGTCCACAATCTGAAATGCTCCCAATCCACCCCTTTGGAGTGCTGGCAGGGTGTCCCGGTGGAATTTCCACACCATAAAGATTTGTTTCTTGCACAAAATTACTTTTAAAATATCGTATGAAACCTTCAGGCCGTGTGTACAAGGGGTATGTGAAACATAAATACACTTTCTTTTAGGCTTGGGTCTCATCCCCAAGATGTCTCAACACATATGTACAAAAATCTGAAAAAATCCCTAATCCAAAACCCTCGAGGTCCCCAGCAGTTTGGAGGAGGGACGCTCCGCCTGTGTCGCTGCCTGCGAGGCTGGGAAGTGTGTCCAGGCGTCACACGCCCAGGGTGAAGGGCGAGCTGGTGCCCTGGTTCCCAGTCTCTATAGAGTGGTTTGGCCTGTGGACCTTTCCTCCTGCAAACCTAGAGTGGTCTTCTCCACGCTGGGCTTTGCATTCTGTGTTTCCACATTGGTGTGATGAGTATTGGGTCAATGTACTCTCAAGAACCAAGTCCCGTTTGCGTTTCCGCGTGTGAGTGAACTCACATTTGGAGTTTGATGGGAAAATAAGCGAGTGTGTGGGAAACCCTGTACGGAGCCCAGCTCCCAGTTGTGTCAAGATGCTGCCTGAGACCTGAACTGATCCCGGGAAATCCATCTTAGAACCGAGATGGGGTGCCAGGGGGCTTCACTTTCTGTCTCTCAGGCATTTAGGAAATGACATCATAAACATTAGCCCCCTTCTGTGTTTGCCTTTTCAAATCAGCCACCACGATGCGCTCAATTGGAAAAGGCCAAGCCTCTGGGTTGTAGTCTCTGCCTCGATGGGGGTGTTGGCTTTGGACGTTTGATCTAAAGCCCTGCTCCGAGGAGGGTGAGGTTGAAATGCAATCGGGGGTGGACCAGGACCAAGGAGCTCACTGAGCTGCGGGTTGCGAGGCAGCCCAGGCCCTGCAGCTCTCCCAGGGGTGCCCAGTGAGGGTGTTGGAGGGGTGGCCACCTGCAGTACTGTCCAGGGCACCTCTTCTAGCCATCTCAGAAGTGAGTGAGGCCAGCCAGGCCCATGTGACACCAAGCTGGAGGCCCCTGGAGAACCTCTTGAGAAGCGAGGCTTGCAGGAGATGCCGGGCAGCTCGCCGGCCAGGGCTGCTCAGGCAGGCTGTCTCCAGGCCACTCCCCGCAGCCTGTGCAGGGAGCCTGCTCTTAGAGTCAGCTGTTCTGATGAGCAGCTCGCTGGGGAATTCCTGACACCCCTTAAAATGGGTGGATGGCGAGGGGCAGGAGAAGGACAGAGGTCCCTGGGAGGTCTAGGGGGACCCAGAGCAGAGGGGAGTCGTCAGTGGAAGTCTGCTCCGTGAGAAGTGATGTCGTGGACGCCGGTGCTTTGGGTGTCCAGAGGGGAACCACCCGTGTGCACCCGAAGGTGATGATTCCCACTGCCGATGAGACAGCTGGACGCCCTCAGCTTGGTGACAAGAGCCAGATGGCCTCAGAGGCCACACAGAGTGGGATCCATGGTTCTCATCGGGACATCTTGGTCTCCAGGGCATAGTTGGCAGTGGCAGGAGATGGCTTTTGGTTGTCGGAACTTCAGGAGCTACTGCTGGGATCTTTGGGGTAGAGGCTGGGGAAGTAGCCCGTGTCCCTGGCCCCAGGACAGTCCCCGTGATAACAGCGATCCTTCGGCCGACATCAGGGATGCTGCTGTCAGGAAATCCTGGTTCATGCCAGGAGGCTGCCGACCAGAAACTGAGGCCTTGGCAGGTGCAGACTCACCTGGGAGTTCCTGCTCCTCTAGCCTGAACCCCGAAGGAACCAGGCTCTCTGGGAGGACGGAGCAGGAGAACCTCAGGATATTTGCCCTCAGGGGGAGCAGCCAGAGCAGGTTCCCCTCCTGGGCTGCCACTCAGCACATCCCTGCACTGCCTCTCTGCTGCTGGGCCCCTCAGCCTCCTGCTGGGGCCCTCTGATCACGTGCTGTCCCCTTCCTGGGCCCCAGGTTACCTGCATGCAGGGTTGGGTCTTTCTATCCTGGCCCCTCTGCACAAGTGGGTTGACTGAACTCAGCTGACTTCAGGGCCCTGCCTTCCGGGACCACTGTCCCCAGGGCTAGGCTGAGCAGAGCTGCTCTCTGCATTGAATGCCGCTGCTCGGGTCTGCTAGAGCTAGCGGGGGCAGCATCGAGTGGAGGGCACAGCGCACTGCAGATATGCTGTCTGTTATTCAGATGGGCGTCCCTGTGACCACAGGACCCCACAAGAACAGCTTAGCAGAGGAAGGGTCTGTCTTGGCCCCCAGTTTCAGAGACGTAGTCCATGGCCAGCCAGCCCCACAGTCTGGGTCAGAGGTGAGGTGGACATCATGGCAGGAGGTCATGAGGAGGAAAGTAGCTCAGGATGGAGAATCGGGGAGAGGAACAGGCCCCAGGAAAACCAAGCCTTCCCGTGACCTGCCACCTCCAGCCACCCCCACCTGCCTAGTCACCACCCCAACATGCTCTCATAATGCAACCCTTTCACCCTGACTATGCCTGGTGAGCACAGAGCTTTGGGGACAGCGCGTGTGCAGTCATAGCCCTGCCCTTTCTGCTGACAGCTGGGCTGGGACGGCTGGAGGAGCCACCAGGAGGCTGGACAGAAAGGCGCCCTCTTCGCCAGGTCTCCACCACAGCTGCTGGCATCTTCCTGCTCCTTCAGGCCTCTGGCTTCAGACTGCAGAGGAGCTTCCAGGGGAGGTGATCTCAGTGCGTAAGGAGCTGTTTGTCAGGGCACGGTGAGAGACGGGATGAGTGGGCTGGGGATGTCCCCGGAGCGCTCCAGACCTGCAGCCACCAGACAGGGTCCTGCCCTGACCTTGTGCCCGGAACGGTGAGGTGGGCTCAGAGCTGACTGAACTCGGCAGCTGCCCCACAGGACGGGATAAATGAAGTGGTTCTTCTTTTAAGAATAATCCTGTCTATTTTTACGACGTGACTTGCCATTTTCTTTAAGCATGTGAGTGAGAAAGGTGCTGTGTGAGTGAGGATTCCGTCTCTAGTAGCAAAAATTACCATCAAATACAAATATTAAAAGGTGCCATCTGCCTTGGAGATCATTTGCCACCTGTTCTTTTGCTTCCAGAACTATTTAATGGTCTAGATTTAACGTGTTGTCCTGCCACAGAACAGCTGGGAGTGACTATTTTTTTTTCTGCCAGTATCTTGCCAGCCAAGCCGCATAACGAGTCCGAGAAGTCTCCAGGCCAGAGCCAGCGCGGCCTTTCAAGTATCCCTCTTTAGGGAGCCTGCAGATGCTCAGGCAGGCCCCGCGACAGCGGCCGTCAGCCATGCGGCACGACGGCTTTCATTTCTTTTTTTTTTTTTAATCCAGGAATTGTTTTCTCCTCCACTATAATCAAAAATGTCATAATACATATTAACATTTTAGAGTTTTCCAGAGTCAAAAATACAGTAACACGGTAACAACATAATTACTCACAACCCAATATGCAGGAGCCCAGCTTCCTGTGGGGAAGGCGTGTGTGTCTTGGACAGAGGCATCAAGCCACCGTTAGTAGAAAGTGTGGGGACCTGAACAGGCAACGGGCTTCGGGCACTTTGCTACCTGTGACGACCGAGGTTGTGTCCAGACGCCTGTGCAGGTCTCCAGGCTGGCGCTAGGACTGGGTGTGCGGCAGCCTCTCCTACGTGGAGAGTGTCCCTGGGACCCCAGGGCAGGACCCGTTTTCACACGAGTCTCCCCTTTCGGCCAGGTCTAGGTGGAGCACCCAGAAGGTGCTCCTGTGACCCGAGTCCCCCAGGGCTCTGGTCCCTGAGGAGCCTGCGGCACTCTGTCTGCATTGGCCATCTCCACCGGTAGATACGACCCACTCTTTCTCTGAAAAGAAAAATTGGAGCTGCCGCTGGCCAAGCCTGTGCATCTGTGTCAAGAGTAAAGCGTGGAGTGCCCCAGACGCCATGTGGCCCTCCCAGGGGAAGCAGCGGCACCCGGTGCCCAGCCTCCCTGCAGCTGTGCCACATGTGTGCCAGGCACCCTCTGCCGCTCTTTCCACGGTTGTTCGCCACACCCTCCAGGGCCTGCAGACTTGTCTCCTGTGAAGTTCACAGAGTGCACCCTGGGTACACACCTGGTGCAGCCGGTCTGGTCAGGGAGGTGTCTCTGGGCGCTGCCAGGGGTTTCTGAGTGGGCACAGGAGGCAGCGCCCTTTGAGCTGCTCCACGGAACACCACAGTTGTCACCTG